AGAAATCCTCAGACTGTTATTTCTTTATATATCCTGAGTTTAGTAAAATCCAAGTTATCTTTTAATCATACTTCCTTTGTCCATCCCACTTCCTCAAATAAATTTGTCCCAAGCCTTCAGCCCTCCTCCCCTACCCTCAGAGCACACTGTCTGCATTGAGAAATGACCAGACAGAAGAACAGAGCACTGGCAGGCATGTGCAATTTGCATTAACTGGTCATTAACCTCTGTGAGGTACCTACATGGTATCACCGATGCCTAATTTTAAGTAATTGGAAGCAAGCTTCAAATTCACCACTTGTGTTAACACTTAGTCACCAATAGTAACTGCAGAAGTTTGGGAATACCTAAACAGTCCTGTCCATTACAAGCAAAATACATTTGACAATTTAAGGTGAACATAAATAATGGCAAATCGGGACATTTTGATGCGATGGTGATGGTGATAAAATCCTAGGATGTTTTGTACCTGTAGGTGTTGTCCTTAATATTGCAAAAGTCACTGTACATGTGAAATAATTCCTGTACAGTTTCAAGTACACAGGAGGCGGCTAATATGGGTGTTCCGCTTCACTGTCACACCAGGTGTGAATGAGGAGTCCCACTCCCAAGAAGACATGTAAATGCAAGACTAATGCTTGACTAGAGCACCGTTTCCTCATTACAGTGATTTATTTTGGGCACTTTCTGTTTTGAGTCACACACTCACGATGAACAATGAAAGACATTGGTACAGAAAGACTGCTAAATTAAAGGGAAAAGCAGTTCACATTCCATAGAAATTCATGATAACTTTGATGTATCTCACGTGAGAATGTGTGCGAGAGACCAACAGCAAGAAAGCGTTGGTCTCTTTCTCTTCAATCAAGTACGTCAAAGTGAAAAATGCATATGATCACAGGTATAGTGACACTTCTGCCAACTTCAATATGCCTTTCAAAAAGAAAATTATTCATGCAGCACAAAGTTGTGTCCATATATTCTTACCTGTGCTTGTGTGAAAGCCATCTGGGAGTTTCTGTCATCTATGTTGGGTTATTCCAACTGAGTGAGTGGTCTGTCTGTCTCTGTTCCCATGACAGGCGGAAAGACAAGCAGAGACCTGCTAAAATATGAATTGTGCCTATACTGTGCAGACCCTTTCTGTAAAACTACCCGCCCCCTTACTAATCTGCACCAAGTAGACTGAACTTTGAACAAGCAGAGCGACTCACATCAGCTGGCCCAGGTCATGTGCCTTCTTACTTCCTTAGAGAAGCAGAAGTGAAAAAACTGTTGTTTAGCTGGTTAGATGGGGCCCTCCCACCATAGCTCAAAGAAGAGTCCCTTGTCTTTTTATAGACAAGTCATGTAAGACTGGCATGTTATTAATCACAATGACAGAATCTCATGATTCACCAAAGAAGCCAGCAAACACAGCTTGTAATTTCTGGTTCATGTGGCTAATTTGAAGCCTTTAAACACCACTAAACTGCATGTTGTGTGTTTAGAGATAATAACTGGAAAGACATGCCTATTTTATTGTGTTGAACAGTGTGTAAAAGGTTTAGTTAACAAACCTTTAACCGCATCAGAAAACATCCTAACAGATTGTGTTAGACTTTGTAACAGAAGACCAATCAATTTAGTCGTAATATATTGGAATTTGGGGGGGGGGGGGTTACTTTTTTTGGCTCACTTGTTGGCCCTTTGCTCATTATGAGTGGGTCGTGTGGTTTTTTAGTGTAACTGCATTGAGATTGGGGAAACTGCTGTGTTTTTATTGGACATAAAAGCAACACTAACAAAATGTAGCTAAACAGCGCCATCTTGTGGGTTTTAATGGTACAGACATATGCTGACAGCAGCCAGATATTTTTTTTAAAAATGTCCCAACAGAAGTCAATCATGTACCATGGACCTTTTGCTTATTTTAGCCAGATCAGCAGGAAAACCACATGCGTAACTAATGACATGAATGATGCATATATGGTGAATGGTGCATGTTAACTCAATGGCGTTGTTTATTTGGGAATTACAACTAAACGAACTGCCATTATGAATGTGAGAAATTATACCTTCACTTTTATGAAACGTCATGTCTACAATGACAAAGAGACTGCTTATTTTCATTACAAAAAAAACATTCAAAATTACCATCCACCCGCCGTTATGAACATAAATACCTCCAGCACTCACAGGAATCACTATCACCTGCTGAAGTCAGAGCCCTCTTTCTGGATACTCACGAGCTCCATATGGCGATTTAACCACCATTTTCATGCTATTTTCTTCCCTCTGCAGGCCTGCTCGGTGTTTCCTCCAGCCGACTGCGTCACTGTCACGTCATATTTAGACAGCTAGAGTTTTGTAGCTAATCTTAAATCGTCGTATTGTTGCGTCGGTGTTAACCCACAGTTGTGAGCTGACAGCACGTGCAATGGATACAACGCGTATCTCCTCACGACGCTGAAGTTAGCTTCCGATTCGGCAGTTAAGTTCCCCTTAACTTTCCACTTAAGTGAAAGCTAATTTACGTTGCTGAGCGACCGATTCTCCAATTTTTGCATCTTACTAGTGTTGTAGTAATCGAGACCGGTCTTAAGACCGCTTTTTGATGGTCTTGGTCTATCTCGGACTCGACCACATTTGCACTCGGTCTTGTCTCGGTCTCGGACATTGAGGACTCGAGATTTTATTTCAAGACCATAATATCAATAAATTGTTTTTTTTTTTATTTGTTAACATCCTAACTTTGATTGGATGTAAAACATACTGCTTTAAATGCAACCAATTACCCTGATTAAAAATGTGTTGTTCCCGTTAATGACTTTCACCCCTATCTGCGAGCATGGGAAAGGAGTGTTAAATATGATGCTTGTGTTGATTTCAGCTCTTAGTGTTTTTATGTGGGTGTTTTAATGGGAACGTGGATCTTTCAGATCAATTTGTGAAGTACGTATGATCTCGTTCCACATTTTTATTGTGTGTCATGTAATGTGGGGAACTGGTCTTGGTCTTGACTCAGTCTCGCTCTCCCTTGGTCTCGACTTGTTCTCAGTCCCTGAAAGTCTTGGTCTTGTCTCGGTCTCGATAAACTCTGGTCTTGGTCTCAATTTCGACGGTCTTGACTACAACACCTCTTACTGCTGTGAAAGCTGTTATGCATATTAGGAAAAGCCTTAAGGCAGTCTGAAACACATTTTTAGATTTGAAAAAACTTTATTTTATTTGTGAAAATGAAAAAAGGGCAATTTCATTGCTTTTCTCCACATGCAGACCACATTAGACCAGGTCCAGATCTAAAACCACTATACCTAGAGCTCTCAAATCTGGACTAGATTGTCCCAGAAAGGCTAAAGTTTCAATCAAACATGGTTCCAATTTGTGAAACCTTTATTCAATTTGTGAAAATAATAATAACGATTTATCTGCTTTTTTCAAGTGTAGACCACATCCTACAGTGTCCCAGAGAGGCTAAATTTCTTTAAAACACGGTTTTAGATTTGGGAAAAATTTATTCTGTTTGTTAAAATGAAAAAAGGGTGATAAGTAAATGCTTTTTTCACAAAAAGTGACCTGGCCTTGCAGCCTTTCCACAACTCTCACTCTGATTGGTTAGTACTCCTTTCCTTTGCCAATCAGAGTCAGATACTAAAGAGACTAAAGTTTCTTTATAACACAGTTTCAGAAATGCAAAATGCATTTATACCTAAGTGTTTAACTATGTGTTTAATATGTTCTTATTTATTTGCATATTGATGGCTCTGGACTTTGACAGACTCAGAGACTTAAAACAAGTTTACTATGTCAACAGGGATAACACAAGACAACAACAGTTTAAACAGATACAGGGTTCTGGCAGACAGGAAAAGGCTAAAAACTGGAATACTTAATAAAAAATCACAACATATACTACATGTTTTCCCCACCATTTATCCAACAAATATCATTTGAAGAATACACATTTTGCCTCATATCCTGCCTCCTACTCTGACTCTGATTGACAAAGGAAAGGAGTACTAACCAATCAGAGTGAGAGTTGTGGAAAAGCTGCAAGGCCAGGTCGCTTTGTATGAAAAAAGCATTGACTTATCACCCTTTTTTCATTTTAACAAACAGAATACATTTTTCCCAAGTCTAAAACCGTGTTTTAAAGAAATTTAGCCTCTCTGGGACACTGTAGGATGTGGTCTACACTTGAAAAAAGCAGATAAATTGTTTTTATTATTTTCACAAATTGAATAAAGGTTTCACAAATTGGAACCATGTTTGATTGAAACTTTAGCCTCTCTGGGACAATCTAGTCCAGATTTGAGAGCTCTAGGTATAGTGGTTTTGGATCTAGACCTGGTCTAATGTGGTCTGCATGTGGGTGAACAAGCAGTGAAATTGCCCTTTTTTCATTCAAAGTTTTTTCAAATCTAAAAAAGTGTTTCAGACAGAGTTAAGGCTTTGCCTAAAATGCATAACAGCTTTCACAGCAGTAATAGGTGCAAAAACGGAGAATCGGTCGCTCAGCAATGTTAAGTTAAGTTTCACTTACGTTCCCCTTAACTTTCCCCTTAACTGCCGAATCAGAAGCTAACTTCGGCGTCGTTATCCCCTCGGAGCCAAAAATGCACTGTCATTTCAGCCAGTGTCGCAAACACGCAGTGTCTGGACACTGCAGGAGACTATTACCTCCACCTTAAGTATTGTACGTTGCAGTAACCTATAAAATAATACGGTGAACCTGCATGTGAAGGTCTAAGATGTAAATAATCACTAGGCGTGATGCATTTTTCTTCGAATAACGTCATTAATGCCTTTCCTATTAGTTGTTTGCTTTCCAAATATTTCTTTTAAACTAAAACGTTCTCTGCAATTAAAGCGTTTACATTTCTGCATATATTTAGGCTGAGCATGACAAACTATAATTGCACAATAAAGTTTTAAGGTCTTCCTTTTAGGGACTAGTGTTTTGTTGACGCGGTGACATCACCAGTCATGTGACCTGCTGCAACCAACGAGCTGTCCAGGGCGTGGTCTGCATCAATCAGTTTAGCACTTTTAGCACAATGAAAGACCGTTACTTTGCAGCGAAAGACGATCTCCCTTCTCGCTTTACGTTATGATGTTGTAGCGACTTCGTCCGAGGATCTGATTTTGTTTCCGTTGCAGTTTCTGTCTGTGGAAATATTAGCAGGCCGCTTCTGTGCACCCATCATAATGCACCCGATGCCTGTGTTCTCCGAAAGCGGTGGAGACATATTTGACTGTATACAGAGAGGAAATATTGAGCTGTGTATACACTTCCTTCAAAATGATCGATCAGTCCTCAAGCAAAAAGGTAAGATAGAATGCAGTATAATAAAAGAGCGTGTCTTGATCTGGCCTCTACTTCCTGCTGTGATACGTCAGTATAACGCTACACAAAATTGCCAAGCTTTCCTGATCTGCTCATTATAAAGCCAGAAAGCTGCTGATGAACATTGTTTATCAAGAGGACCAACCTGTTATACCTCTGACATAAATCTGTAGTAGTCTACACATTTTGTCATGTTACCAGGCTAATGTATAGCATTGAACAACTATAATTTTACATTATTATTTTCAAAGGACCAACTTAAACTTTATCATGCTCCAGTGACTCCTGATGTGATTTTGTCTCAGTACCAAAGGGGAAACCATACCCTGCTGTCAGTCCTCCCTGAGATGGTATGGCACAGATCTAGGTGGACAGATCCTGTGACAGCACAGCACAATGTCACATTGTGCCAAAAGGAACCCAAACCCTGACACCAGATTGTTTTAACGGCCAACAGGCTGACAGGCCGTGCATTTATACCAGGCCTGTACTGTTAGTCACAGATATTGCAGGTCAGTTAGAAGGGCTACATCTTTAAACCTGACGTGTTTGTCATCATACCAGGTTGGGGTGGTTTCACCCCGCTCCACTATGCCGCCCTCCATGGTAACCGTGCCATGGTCGAACTTTTCCTTAGTAATGGCGCTGACCCTAACCTGACATGTGATGCGGGACAGACAGCCTTTCATTTTGGCTGCAGGTGAGCATAAGTTGCATATTTAGGTGTTAAACAAACATGCCTGGATTCCTGAGGTGACAATGTCAAGATGTGAGCATTATGCTTTCCTGTGTCATAACAGTTTGTACTTTTGACTCCCATCAGACAAGGGAACATCTATATTATACACCAAATGATGCAGTATGGAGCTGATCTGCGCCTCATAGACCTGCAAGGAAAAACGTCACTGCATCATGCAGTCACGGGGGGCAACATGTGAGTGGAGGAAACAACACATCACAAACTTAATTGTTGTTGTCTTTTGTCTTGTATTTTTGTGACCACATGATCACATGTATTTTAAAACTGCTGACAGTTAGTAATCTTTCCCAGTGTTGCAGTGCACTATTTGTGGGAGACAGGAATGTTCCGGTTCTCAGACACAGACATGTACCAGGTGACACCCCTTCACCTGGCTGCATCCACAGGCAACACAGAGGTGGTCCGGTACTTGCTCAGAAACCAGGTTTGATATTGTCTTCACTCTCTCACTCACTCACATGCTCTAGTTGAGCAACAGTATGATCAAGCTTTAATTTAAAGTTTTAAAGCTTCATGGAAATGGACTTAACACAAAACAATACACTTTACTCAAATTTAAGCTGCTTTTAATCACTTTTACCTCCTTGTTTTGGTTCTCAAGCCCACACATTTAAAGTGTGGTTAAGTGTCAGTCTCATTAACTGCTCATATAAAACTGTAGGCAGTTTGTATTTTCATCAAATAATCTTAGAAGAGCTTAACACCTGTAGTAAACACGACATACAATAGCTAAAAGCTGACATAAACAGCTGGCTGGTAAAAGAAAACATCCAAAAAAATAAATTTTCTCAGGCATTGGTAGCTTTAACCAGAGGTAAAAGCTAAACATTAGTACTTACATTTTAGAACACATCTCCTTTGGGAAACGATTGTTGCTGAATCCATAACAACGAAGTCTTTCCACTCCCTCATGGTCATAAATTGCTCAGTGTGGCTGTAAAGAAATTAAAATGTGATTCTGGTGTAAGCTGAGTTTCCATTTTACAGAATTAGCTACAATCTTATAAACTGCTCTGTAATAAAGCCTTTGAGGTGTTGATGCAACTCTACGGTCATAGTTTGTAGTGCTGTTAAATTGTATTCCATTATATTGTCTATGAAGATTCTCAGTCATCCAGGTCATAGTTATCCAACGAAGGTTAAAGTCAAGGGCAACTGGACTTGGTTGAAGATACTGTAAGAGGTTTCATCCCTCATCCAAAGGACTTCTTCAGTTCTAACTGACTCGGCTATTTAACCTCAGTGGGGTCATTTGCCAGGGTCATCGATACTGCTGGTTCGTTCCTGGTTGCTGTAACGACAGTCGTTACAGTCATTGGGACTCCCGGTGGCCAAGACTGAACAACCATCGTTGGCATCTTCACCTGAGGCCAATAGGTTACTATTGTTGAGTTTCATGGGAAGTGATGAAAGGACAGCATTGTAAGTGGTGGCGTAGACCCCCTCCCCTGTTCAATGATGGCTTCTCGACCCTGGTGTAGATGGCTTCCTTGACACCTCTTTCAAACCATCCATCTTCTCTGTCTAAAATGTGCACCTGGTGGTCCTCAAACGAGTGTCCTCTGTCCTTCAGATGTAAGTAAACTGAGTCTTGACCTGAGGAGTTGGCCCTTCTGTGTTGAGCCATGCATTTGTAGTGGTTGTTTAGTCTCCCCAATATACAGGTCTGTGCATTCCTCACTGCATTGGACCGCATACACTAGATTGCTTTTCTTGTGTTTGGGTGTGCGGTCTTTGGGGTGTACCAGCATCACAGGGATGTTATGTTTGTTGAAAATCCTCCTGAGTTTCTCTGATACTCCAGACACGTATGGAATCACAATGTTGTTGGAGGTAGCGCCTCAATCCTCTGTTTGTTTCAGAGATGTGCTGTGGATGCAGTTGACCAGCAGGGTGCGACAGCGCTTCACGTTGCTGCAGAAAGGGGTGGAGTGGAGGTGTGCTGGACACTGCTGCAGAGAACAGGGTGCAGGATGCTCTACCAGAAGAACCACAGCGGCCTCACACCGCTGGACCTCAGTAAACAAGGGAAAACATTTAGGTGAATCTGCTGTCTCTCAGAATCTCTGGAAAAACACTGACTAGCAGGCCACTTCATGGTATAGTAACACCCCTCAGTACCTTTAAATATCCAGTATGTTCGCATTTCCAGATTACTTTTTTCTCTTGGGATCCTGACACTGATTAATACATTGCTATACTGTGTATTTTTCTCTAGACATCAGCAACTCACCAAGCTACTGAGTCGGTATATTAATGAGCCAATACACCACAAGCCCAGAGAGTCTCATGGTAAATTGTACTTGAAAATGTAGTTTCATGTAGATGAAAACAAGGATGATGATTACGATGATGAAAGTGGTGATGATAATAACGGCACTGTAACATATTGTGCGTGTGCATTAATGTGCTGAGTTTTTCACACATCTTTTTATATTATATTTACATGACTTGTCTTTTCTCATCAGTTCTGTATTACTGGACACTGTTTTTTCCAACCCTGAGTGGAGCTTCCATCCTGCTGATAGCAGCCATGTTGGGAGGCTATGGGGGGCTAACCTGCAGTTTGCTCTTCCCCTGGCTGGCCAGAAGCATCTTCACACAGTACCACCGCATGACCACGTACCAAAGGTTTGACAAAAACTATTGTACATGTGACCTACAACCTATTTCACTGTTTGTGCTGCAGCTGACGAGAAACTGCTTCTTTCAATTAAGGAAAATCTCAAAACTTAGAAATATAGTTTCAAGAAATGATTTGGAGCTAATCATTCACGCCTTTGTGTCGTCGCGGTTAGACTATTGTAATAGTTTATTTTTATGCCTAAACCAGAAGGAGCTCTCTCGACTGCAATTAGTACAAAACTCTGCAGCCAGAATTTTAACACGTACTAATAGGAGGTCTCACATATCACCAATCCTAAAAGAACTTCATTGGCTACCAGTGTCTTATAGGATAAATTTTAAAATTTTGGTTTTAGTTTTCAGAGCTTTACATGGCCAGGCTCCACCCTATATTAGTGACCTGATTCAGCGTTATACCCCTGTGCGTGCTCTGAGGTCTGTGGATCAGAACCTGCTGACGGTTCCACGCACTCGCTACTGTACTAGAGGTGACCGATCTTTTCAGGCTGTTGCCCCTAGGTTGTGGAATGACCTTCCACCATCTATGCGCTCTTCTGATTCTGTTGATGCCTTCAAATGCAGACTAAAGACACATTTATTTGTTCAGGCTTTCAATTAGCTACTTGTGGGTTGATATGATCATGTACTGTCTATGCTTTTATTGTGTGTATTTTATGATATTAATGTTTTTGTTGTGAAGCACTTTGTGGCCCTATACCTGTGAAAGGTGCTATAGAAATAAACTTTTACTTACTTACTTACTTGTTATAGCTCTCTGTTGACATAGCATTTGTCTTCCTTCCAGGTTACCCAACCCGGTCTACTTGGGAACCCTCATAGCTGGCTTGTTCCATTCCTTGCTCTGCTTCTATGGAAAAATAATGCCTAATATCCTTACCAAAATTAAGCACACATTAAGTCATTTCAATGCATATTTTTGTATTCTCTGTCGGTCTCTCCAACACTTTGGTTCAGAGAGGGATATCTCAACCAAAGGCCAAAGAATATCAAACTTTTGCATAATGCTGTGATATTTGGTCATCACATTACAAGGTACATTTATTTGTCATATTACAACAGGTTTGTATAATGAGATGCAATTTTTAGTTCCCTTTATGCTACAAAGCAAATTATATAAATAGATCTATATAAACTATTTTAAGAGTCTAAAGCCTGGGAGAAGAAGCTGTTCTGAAGTCTGCTGGAAATACTTCTGTATCTCTTGCCAGATGGCAGCAGGGTGAACAGGCTGTGGCTGGGGGGGTACTGTCTTTTAGTATCCTTTCGGTTTTACGCAGGCACCTCACCTCACAGATATCACTGATGCTCAGTAGATGTGTACCAATGATATTCTGAAAAGTTTTAATCACCCACTGCAGAGCCCTCCTGTCCTGGGCCATGCACATCCCATGCCAGTTGGTGATGTTTCCGGTCAGGATGCTTTTTCTATTGCTCCTCTGTAAAAGTTGACAAGAATTTTGCCTTCTTAAGTGTTCTTAAGAAAAACAGCCATTTCTGAGCTTTCTTCACCAGCTTGGGTATGTGAGAGGACCATATCAGGTTCTCTGTGATGCTGGTTTCTAGGAACATTTTTCCTGCTCCTCTCAGCTCTACATGTAGATAGTGTGTGTGTCTTTATCTCATTTTTTCTTTGAATACATTTGCATTGTGGACACTTCACAAGCTGTCTTGTGTTTATTGTCAACCGACCAGTAATCCCCTAGTTGTCTTGCTCGTCCAAATATACTCAGTAAGTAAATGTAATAGTAAGTGTAATCCAGGATTTTGGAGTGGTCATCCTTAACATTTTGAATGTGTGTGGCCAACCAGTGCTCTTGTCCAGGTGTCGATGGTCCACTTCTCCCTAGTCGTCGGTTTGTTGTGTAAGATTTTGACTCAGGACCCGGGGACACTGGACAGAGCAGATGCAGATCCTCGGTTCTCCTGTATCGCTGACCTGGTGGAGAACAACCAAAGCCCTCACAGGTTCTGTCCGTACTGTGAGGTAAGACATTCACGCTGGTCATGGTTCAGAGAAATGCACACACAGCCCTTCTCCTCTTGGTGTGTGCCTTCACATGGTCTTCCCCTTCGAAAAGTTTCTGACACACCCCTGCTAAGGTCTCGCATGTCACAATAAATCAATCATGTGTGCGTTAAGTCTCTACAGATTAAGTTTTTATCCCATAGTGAAATTAAAAGGCAGTAGATGTCTGACAGATAGGAAATAAACACAAAACTTAAGATAAGCTTTTGAAAAAGGTTGGCGACAAAGTAAAAGATCTTTAATATTTTAATTGTTACATCACACAAAAATTGGGATTTGTTCTTACTAATGTGTTGCTCTCCTTCCCACCCTGTCTTTGCTTTCCTCATAGTTGTTTCTGCCCGACTACACTAAACACTGCAAGCTGTGCGATGTGTGCATTAAAGACTATGACCACCACTGCCTTTTCCTCAACCGGTGCATCGGCCGGGGTAACCACCGCCTCTTCCTCTTTTTCATCCTTTCCATGGTGATTGCCCACCTTCTTTTTGTTGCCACTGCAACAAATTACCTGCTTGACAAGATGCCTGCGGGCGGTCGCAGCTTGTCATTGTGGTTCACATTGTTAGGGCAGGAGTTCTGGGTTGTGGTAATGATGATTATGAATGCGCTGACGCTCCTTTGGGAGGTGTGGCTACTTACTGAGCAGTTTGATGCCGTCGCCACTGGAACGACCAACTACTTCCGTCAGTGTGAAAGCTCAGCACGACAGAGGTCACTAGGACAGCGCTGGGCGATAGTGCTGTCCTTTCTGCTGGAGGGGCGAAGACGGGTGGGCAGCGGCCAAAGAGAAGACAAAACTGCCATAGACATTTAAATCTGTCATGTATCCAGCTGTCTTGAAATTGTTTCATCATCACTCACTTACAAATATGCATTCTCAGTTTACAGTCTTTGTGAGAATGTCCTCTTTAGATTTAGTATCTCTCTAATAACATATTACATGTTGTACTTGAATGTAAAATTTGGATATATCTTCATATTCTATTTTAGTAGACTGTAGAGTAGATTTGTCCACAAAGTGACTAGCAGGATAACTACCACTAAGAGGTTAGAAGTTCACCTGGTTTTTAGAGACCTCACTGAATACTTTAAGATAAAATAGTATTTTAATTAACTTGTTGGTTTTCATTGTTTTGTGTAAAGTACTGGATATTTTCCAAACTGTGTTTTAGCAGGGAACGCTCATATTCACACCTGTTTTTATATCCTACATCGGCATACTTTCTTAAAGTTATTTTTGTTTTAAATATAAAAAAATGTGTCATGGTGAAACGTTTAAGGTTGTGAAGATGTGTGCACTCATAACATTAGCAAGTCCTGTGATTTGATAATGGTAAATAGTGGGTACACTGAGAGGCTATTTTTCTGATGTCATTACCTCTCTGACCTGCCCCTGGTCATTTGGGCCCCGACACTTCCTCTGCTCTCACTAATGGGACATTCTCTTTTCATGCCTTCAATTAAACACACTCATTTCCTATGTGTCCCGTCGGACCATATTTCTAGATTATAGATGATGTTCCCCACACCCCTCAGTGGCTGGTGTGTCTGGACTATGTGAGTGGCTGTGTCATGTCATATTATTTACTCTCTACTGTACTGTGTCTGTCAAGCACATGGAGTGGCACATAAGCTGCTGAAACTGAGAGCTTTTACTGTATTTCTCTGTCCCTAAATCAGTATTATTGTATTTAACTGGCTGCCATTTGTCCATATCCCATATAACGTATTTTATCTTTGGTGACAGTTTCTTTTGGTTTCCAAAATGAAACCTCATTTGTGCCATGATGTTTTTAAGCTGTAGTGAAAATAATGTTTAATAAATAGAAAATTCACTGAAAGCTGTAATTTCTAAAAAAGAAACATTTCTCTTTCTCTTTAAACTCACTTTGTAGCTAGAGAGAAACAGAGCTTTTAAAGCTTGCGACCTTTTTTCTGATTTACATAGAGAAATCACTAAGCCACTGGATTGTACTCTTTTGTGAGCCAAAAATGTACAGTAATAACATCTGAAAGAGAAACTCATATTTTTTTAGACAGACATCAGCAGTTTTCACTTCTCCATCAAGGCGGCTCACTTCCTTAGAGAGCGACAGACTGATAATTCAGAAGAGGACAGCAGGAGCGTGTCGCACAGCTGTGTTTTATTTCTCTGTAAAGCAGCACCTATCACAGCAGCTGCTTGGGAGTATGTGATGCCAGTCTTATCAGACAGAGAGTCTGGCTCCAGACTGAGAGTCGTCTGGTCTGCCCATCCAAGATGACATGGCAAGTAATACACGCATGACTGTCTTTGTTTCCTTCCTTCTATCTGAATCTGTTCACTTCAGCATTCTTCAGGTGCACGTCATTGCTGTGTTAATGATGGCAGCTATAGTAGTCCCTTCTCTTTGGGTATGTGAATGTCATTGAATTTGGTTCCTAGTGATTATCAATTACGTAGAGGACTGAGATTTCATTATTACCCTTGTGTGTGCCTGTGTGTTGTGTTTGTGTCTGTTGTGGCTCTAGAAATGGCCTCATTGGAGAAGGATACACTGTACAGATGGGTTTGCTGCCATGAAACCATCCAGGATTCCTCTGACCAGTGACAAACCAAAGGAATTGGCAGGTAAAGCTCAGTTTTTAGTTTGTTTTGCAACAGTGATCATTGTATCAGGAAGGTGATGATCTATTTTTTGCTTAAGCTACAACTTTCTGGCTTTCTGAGCTCTCACATAAAGTTAAGCTTAAATTTTTGATATTTAGAACCCTGGGTCCACAACTTTTCTCTATCATTTCTATCTGTGTGAGATCTTCTCTGTTTATCAGGGTGTGAACTGTTTTTATACAAGTAAAGAATTACATTGCCAAGGTTATGTTACTACTAATGCACTGCTACCTGCTACTGCCTTTATAAAGCCTCCATTAAGGCAGCTTAAAGTGTTTGTCATTGACCGAGATGGTTATTTTTTCTTATGAGAAAGCTCAGTCAGCTCTTCCTTCTAGCAGTGCCTCTGTGCTGCATTTTAGTCTCATCCAGCCTCTTGACCTGCAGCATTTATCTGCTTTATCACATTCACTACCAGGCAGATTGCCGAGTGACTGAGTAGTGTGGTATTTCCCCTTAGATTATAAATCTTAGTCTGAAGGAGTCAGAATACTAAATACGAGTGCTTTATAGTGGATTTTTGACAGCTTTTAAACCCACGTCCACCCAAATTTATCATCCACCTGCAACAGTTCATAAGTGCAGGCAGTACAATGACTTGGCCAAACATTTAAACATTTAATGGTAAGAATGGTGTCAGCTAAATCAAATGTATTGATCTGAGGTTGTACTTCAGCTACAGACAAGGCCATAATCAGATCTTCATGAGCAAACAGCTGGAGGAATTGTGAAGACTGTAGAATGGCGGTGGAAAGAAATGGGTGGTGTAAAGAAATGGGTGACAAGACAGAGGACACACTGCCGGACATATTTATAGACGGTGAGAAATTGATACTGAGAGTGTGCAGCAGAAGGCTGAGAGAGAGAGAGAGAGAGAGAGAGAGAGAGAGAGAGAGTGGGCAGGGCTCGAGGTATGTGAGAACAACAGTACGCTGGGCCGGTGGGACAGAGAGGAGGAGTGAGACGAAAGGAAGGAGGGGAGGAAGAGGAGAGTGTGTGGTTAAGTGCTTGTAAGTGTGTGTGTGTGTGTGTGTGTGTGTGTGTGTGTGTGTGAAATCAGACGGAGACAGTGTCCAAGTGCAAGATAGTGAGCCGGGGAGAGAGATGCTCGGAGAGGATGAGGAGTAACAGGGCGAGGCAGCAGCGAGAGACGCTGAGTGTGTGTGTGTGTGTGTGTGTGTGTGTGTTTGAGAAATAGTGTGTGAACAGAGGGATGCAGTCATGTCTCTGTGAGAGGGAGCAGCACAGCAACGGTAACCATGCTGAGCCCCAAGATAAAACAGGCACGCCGGGGTAAGCACAGTCCCTCCTCCCCTTTCTCCATCCCTCCTCTGTGCCCCATCTCTTTTCTCTCATTCTTTGCTCCCTTGCCTCTGTCTGTCCTCCCTGCAGTCCATCTTTTTCTTTCCCTCTCTCGCTGCCTCTGCAGAGCTCCATCTGTCCTGCTGTCTTTGTAATAATGTAACATCAGTATTGTTGTCAGTGCTATCATTGATAATGACATCAAAAAGGTGTAACAGCGCCATGTTAGCACTGAATCTGCACCAGTGCCAACCTGAGTTTTTTTTGGAATGTTTTTGAAGTGTTGAGGCTTTATCTTCTGTGTCCAATAATCACTGAGAGTTAACATGCTCTACTACAATGTAATCTCTTGCTTCTCATGATTATACTGTCCTCGCTCCTAGAAGATTTGATTCTGATGGAGACACTGTGGGTTGTAGTAAACATGGCTGCTGGAAAGATAATCCTCCCTCCAACAATGGTGTGCATCCTGCCATGTTCACACCTGAAGACATAACTTCATGTCTATCTGCTCAGGGTTTATTGGGATAGTTAGTAGGCACGGTGGCTTTGAGCAGGTGACAGATAGGTCAGAGCTGGTGAAAGGAATGCAGGGCTCTCTACTCCTGTGAATCACAACAGCTGACTGTCAAACAGTTCCTCTAACACAGGGTAAAATCCACTTGCGGCCACTGAAGTCAGGACACCACATATACATGCCTCTCATGTGACTGTGTGAAGATGAATAAGGAAGCTGTACATCACAGGACTATCTCAGGGCACTAAGATTATCATGATGCAGAGTATAAATACTTGCTGTGCTCTTTGTAGCAATCGACACATGTTGTTTCAGGTGGTTTGGGGAGTTGTGACAGTTGCCAACTTATCACCAAGAAATGGACGAGCATTGGTTTTTAGAGAAGAACATCCACGTGATTTCTGTTTAAGAAGCTTTCCACTTTGACAGAAAATAAGTTTCCTCAAATTCTCCTTGAATCAATTTCACATTTTTGTAAGAAAATGGACAAAACTGAGCGATATTTTGGCGAGCAGCAGCTTCAAGAACGCTTACTTTTGTGTGCGTGCGTGCGCGCGCTTAGGCAGGGTTGGTGCCTTGTTTCTCCCCTGGCAGGCGTTGTCTTATTCTTGACCAGCCGTAAAAGTAAGACTATACAACAGGATGGGATGAAGAAGTGCCTCTTCTTTCTCCTTCACAAACACAGTTGGAGTACAGCAGCCACTTCAGTTTGCTTGCCACGTTTTGTGCGCTTGCCATCTCTCATTTGCTGTAATGGTATTCTCCTTTGATTAGATTCCCAGCTCTGCTCCTCCTCTGACCCTTTTATGCAGCATCATCCAGGGCAAATTCATACAGCATCACAGAGCTGGATCCGCACTCAGAGCCGTAGATAAGACCAGAATCTTAAGGCAGTCAATTAGTCTAGAATCTTAAAGCAAGATGTTATTGGTGTTTGAGGACTTTTACTTGTTTACTTGTAAAGCACCCTGAGGCAAATTGTGATTTGTAATATTGGGCTATTTAAATAAAAATGAATTGACTTGACTTCATACTTCCACTATATTTCAAAGGGAATTGTACTTTTTACTCCACTATTTTTTACAGCTGTAGTTACAAGTATATTTACAAATTAAGATTTTATGCACAAAACATGATCAGTTTATAAAATATGATGCACTGTTATAGATTAAAATACCTAAAAGTAAATGAGAATTAGCTTCACTTCAAACAACTGTTTTATTATCACTTATCATTAGGAACATAATAATAACATACGAGTGAATATATATAATTGTTTTAAATATGAGGGGATGCACTTAAAGTAACATTATTTTCTGAAAAGATATCAATTTGATCCTTGTGCACTAATTGTAAAAATTAATATTTCTTTGCTGACAGTAGATTAACAAACCGGTTCCTCTCTGAGATTTCCGGTCTCTTTTTTAAAGTACAATGCGCAGCCATGTCTGCTGTATTTATAGACCCTGCTCTGCCTGCTTCTGCTGTGAGCATACAGTTTTGCTAATGACTGCTTCATCTCCAGTCTTCTCCTTTCAATCATGACTCTGCAAATGAAGGACATCCAGAAAGGGGAGAAATGAAATGTCCAGACAGAGAGCTGATAAGCAAGAGAGAGACAGAGGAAACAGGAGAGAGATTTCAGTCCAGGCCCTTGCATATACCTTCCCTGCTGTTCTCAGCAGAAAACAAGATGCAATTAACAGGAAAAAAAGACGCCATTGATTTCTCTATCCTCTCCCTCTGCCTTCTGTTTATCTTTCTCTGACTCCCTGACTCCCTAGGCATTGTGTCACTGTTTCTGCTCTATACCTTTGGCATGCCTATGCTAATATAGAATCCTTGCTTGTAATCAGTCTGTAGCAGTTAAAGCGCAACCTGATCCAAAGCAGAACTGCTTTCTGTACAGTGATGAAATTGGAAATAATAATTTCCCTCATTAATATCTGAAACACATAATAAAATGTAATAGAATAGATAGATGGAATTCATCTTAAAGCGGGATATATTTGCTGCAAAATGGAGGTCATGTCTTGGTAGATTTACATAAGAAGAAGTCTGGATGCATGGTCAGGCCTATGGGCTTAACAGTACCCAAGGAAGACTGTCTCTGGGTATATTTTTAGAATAATAGCATAACAACAGAGAAAGAAAATCCCAAAATAAAATGTATCCTCTGTCTTTATGTAACTCGGTATATCTCTCTGTCTCACTCATTACCATGCTCTTAATCCTCCAAGCCTCCTTTCCCTCACTTTATCTGTATGTGTGTGTCCATGCAGCACGGTCCAAGAGCATGGTGCTTGGTGAGTTGTCCCGGGTCTCCAGGCCCTGCTCTCCTCTGGATCAGGAGAAAGCACTGAAGGCAGGCT